CATCGACCTGGGGGTCGAACTTGTTGGCCAAGAGGTGGTGCTGCTGGAGCAGCCAGGGCACGTCACCCACCCCGTAGATGCAGACGGAGCGCTGGTGCTGGCCGGTGCAGGGTGGGTAGGGCGCGCCCTTGCTGGTGTCGCCCTCCAGGTACTGCCACTTCACCAGGCGGGGCAGGGCGTTCATGTCCGACTGCTGGAACTTGTCACTCTGGGGCATGGCCCCCGGCACACCGGGCATGCGGTTGAGGGTGGCCCAGACGTGCTCGTCGGGGCTGTAGGTGTCCTTCGCCCACTCGAGGAACTGCTGCGCTGTGGGGTTCTCGAAGATGTGCTGTACAAAGGTCCGTGTGACCACAATATACGCGTTGCCCGTGAACATGGGAGAGTTGTGAGGTGGTGGCAGTTTCTCTGTGGCTGTCCGGGAGATGAACTTCCCCACTTCGTGGTGGTACTGCCAGCGCTCCCGCTTGAGGGCCGAGGGCTTCTCTGACTCCATGCTGTTCCGTCCCTGCAGCACCTTCAGCGCACGGACTATCTCGGCATTGGTCTTGATGGGGAAATCGGTGCCACAAGTGTTGAGGACGTAGTGCCACGGCATGGGGCTCTGCAGCAGGTCCTGCATGCAGTTGAGGTCGGCCTGCAGCCGGGACCAGGAAGCATAGACCACGTTTTCCAGGCGACTGGCCACAAAGACATTGGGAAAGCAGGCTGCTATGGCCCGCACGGCCTCCTGGAAGGTGGCTGGGGACTTGCTGTCAACGTGGATGCAGTAGACGTTCTGAGGGGCATAGAGGGACCGCAGGAGCCGCTCAAACATCTCGATTTTGTTGTGGATGACCATGGAGTAGGCGATGGGGAACGATGCCTCCTCCTGGCTCAGCGGGAACTGCATGAACCGCCGGGTCTCCCTGAAGTTGCTGCAGTCCTTTGTCATGTTCAGGTACTCCTCAGGCGTCAGGGAAACCCTCTTGCTCGCAGCCTTCAGGTTGCTGAGCTGGGCCTCCTGGATAGCTTTCTGGTCCCCGCGGACGACGCCCGAGCAGTTGATCTTCC